GGGGGAAAAAAATTCTCCTGCTCTCTCTATCTGCATTCTTTCTGGAATGAGAAAGAAACATGCCTTTTTGAGATCCAGGGAGATTTTTCAGATTCTAACTCACCCCCAGTCTGATAATACATGCTTAAGAAATGCTTGAACCCCTCTGAACCGGCACGCAGGAGCAGACATCCTCTCAGTGGCCCAATCTTTTCCCCGTTTGCTGCCAGAAAGGCAGAGCTGGGCAAATTCACTCTTGTCCTTTATGGTTGTGTTTGTTTTGCCCAGTTCTGCTTTCACTTCTGGATTGGCTGGACTCTTCAGTTCTGGATGCTTGTGATGATAAAGCACATTGCAGTGCTGCATGACCAAAAGAGTTTGATCCTCTGGCTCTGTAGACAGACAGGAAACAGGAGTGTCAGGACAGACTGGTGTTCTGACCCAAGGGGTAGTAGGTTCACAGACCCAATCAGGATCTGATCTGCTCTACAGTTAGTATGGTGAGCTCAAAGGAGCACAAAGTTATTGGGAGTTGGTGTTATACTATTTGGTGCTCTTCCTTGAGGAATTTAAATGAGTTTGCCCCATATAACCCAGTAATTGGTTTAATAATTGGGTAAAAGGTACCTTCTTTGGTAGTGACAATGCTGTAGGAAGGAAGGGCCATCAGACAGAACAATAGGCTCAGACTGGGTTCAATTCCCAGCTAAATCATAGGCTACCTGTATGAGGTTCACTCACACACTATTAATCAACTCTGTACTTCATAAAGATCTAGCCCATAGGAACACTGGGAGGGCAAGTCCACCTGGATATTAATGTGATAAGGACCATAAACAGACCTAGCTAGATGGCCTACACCTCAACAGAGAGATGGTCTTATAGACATGATAACACAGAGTCCTTTCCATCCTAGCCATTCATGATTACCTGCTGCCCCCACCCCTCCTCTTCAGCAAGCCTAGCAACCATCTGCACAGGAGAACAGCATTAAAGAAATAATGTATCTCTGGGCTGTCCTAAGGCAGTGGAGGTGCTGAAAAGCAACAGCTGGTGGGCAGCCAGCTCACTGCAGACCAGGCTAGGAGTAAGCCCTTTGAGAGAGAAATGTTTCACGTAGGTCCGATATCGGATTGGCACTGATATAATGGAAATTGACTGTATTGGAAATTGGCCTGATGTGGCTGATAAATGCCCCATGCATGTGTGGGGCTGCAGTGCAGAATGTAGGTGGCAAGGAGCATAGTTCGGCAGCTTGGAGAGCTGCATCCAGCTGGTAAATCTGTTGTGGTGGAAGGGGAGGGAGGAGGGAAGAGGGACGGAACATGGGGGTGGGGGCACATCAAGCCCGTGATGAGGGAGGAAGCGGGGCTTGGGCTAGGGCAGATGCTGCCCAGCCATGGCGGGGCATGGGTGGGACAGAGCTGTGGCTGTTCCGGGGGGTGCGGGGAGGGGAGGGTGACTCCCACTGCTGCATGCACCTCAGGAAGGGGCTACAGCAAAGTTTGAGGTGGCTGCAGCCCCCTCCCCCTGTACCTGCCTCTTAGCGCCACCGTCTGCCCCGAGTGCAGCCCAGACCCCACCAGGAAGAGCCTGGAGCAGCCTGCCCCACACAGATCTGGGGGCACATCCCCCCCCCCAGGATGTACGCAGTGGTGGGAGCTGACCCCCCTGGACGAGCTGCTTGCAGCTCTGTCCCATGCCCTGCCCCACCCTAGCTGGCAGCACCTGCCCCTTTCCCTCACCACAGGGGACTCTGCTCCCCTCCTCTTCAAAGGAGTAAGAACCCAGCAGAGAGCACTGGACGTGGACTCCGGAGTCTTGGGTTCTATTCTGAAATCTGACTCTGACCTGCTGAGTGACTGTGGACAAGTCTGTGTCTCAGTTTCCTGATCTGTGAAATGGGGAGGGTGACACTTACCTCTTCGTAAAGTACTATGAGTTCTGCTGCTAAGAACTGAGCATCATGACAGATTTAGGAAATGAAAACACACAGATCTGTTGGATGGAACAGCAGGACGTACGTTTGGATGAATCCCTACTGGAAGAATGGTGCTCTGTAAAGAATACAAGCAGGTTTTAATTAGCTGACATTTCTCACAGACTTCTGCTCGGCTCGTGCCACTCCTGGCACTCAGAGTCACTATTGCTTATGAGTCCCCATGAGGCACTACCATACACTGCCGCTGTCCTGTCCCATTCTGGGGCTTCGCCCAATTACTGCTATGCTGGCGGGTAGTGCTAAGACAGCCAAGCAAATGGCTGAAGCACCCAGTGCAAAGAAGCCATTTGCTCCTATTTAGTTTCTGCAAAGCCTTTTAATACTTAGAAGCCTAGTCATGAACCAGGGCCCAGTTGTGCTAGGGGCTGTACAAATGCACTTAGTGGGTAGCCTCCAATTTCACTTCCCCATGACAATGTGGCAATAGTAACATTTACTGTACAGATATCCATTCCATCCATTTGTTCCCCATGCATTTACATGAATAACATCTGCACCATTATCCTCAGCCTCCTTTCCTTCTGCAGAACCAGGACAAGCCTCAGTAGAGGGGGCATGCAGTTAATTATCTGCAAAAACAACTCAAGGAAATCCAACTATTCCCTGGCTCTCAACTTGTTGCCCAAATGGGATTTCACGTGTGAAGTGATGGAGAAACAAGACAATACTAACTTGTAAAGGAGCAGGTTATACTAAACTTCACTGTTAGGTACTTCTCTAGTATGAAGCTTTGGAAATTAAAGCTATGTTCCTGACCAGGTTCAACTTGAGCACCCTAATATCCATAAAACCAGGCATGCCAGATCCTTCCATTATATTTTGTCGCCACTACAATTATTGTTATAATACCTCTGGCTGATGATATTTACCAACTTAAATACATACCTAAAAAATGAATGTACAAGAGTTAAAACTCATTACTTACTGTGTTCCATTCATTCCCTAACCAAGTGGTATCAGTTTTGCTATGACAGTGATGCTGAAAGAAGCAGGAAGTGATCAGAGTTTTGGGGGCTTTCCTAGATAAATGTCTAGTTGTAATTAAGCCACAATGTTCCCCCAAAGCATCACTTGCACTTACCTTACAATTCTCAACATGATCCATCTCTTACATGCATTCAAAAGCTGACCTCCAGTTCCTGTCTCAAATTACATCACTGAACTGGTGATGTAATTATACTTATTTATATATAAGTATATATAAACTAAAAACAGTAAAAGTGGAAGCTTTTCCCACCTAAGGAAGATGAGAAAAGCTTCCACTTTTACTGTTTTTAGTTTATATATACGGATAGGTTAGTGATATAGGAATTATATTTATCAAAATATACTAATAAATATATTTTATATTGCATTGGCATGTTTATTTACACATGGCGTCCTTGCATCCAGAAACCATGGGCACATTATATGCACTGCTCACTGCTACCCACTGCTCATTTTTTAAAAATGACACTGGAGGCTTCAAAGTTTTGGGATCCCACCTTGAGATTTTCAGTTTTGAACACCTACTGTCTGAAAACCAGGCCCTATAAGAAGTTTCATGAGTGGGACCCCTAACATTTCTTAAGCACTTTTGAAAATCTAGGCCTGTGAATACTATTGTAATTAGTTATCACCAAGACCTACAATTGTGGATCTGACCTGCAAAGAGACTTTATTAGGTCTGCCAAATATGTTTGCACAAGAATGCACCATCTAGTGCTTGGCTCTATCAACCCCTGCCTCTGGACCCCTCTTAATTCAGCCCACTGTTAGTGAAAGGTTGCCAACCTCTGTTTTAAAACACTTGGAGCACTTGACTCCAGGGCAGAGTTACAACCAGGACTGTAAGCACTCGGTTCTTTCCTGCTTAGGTAGGATTCAGAAAGGACATGTTGTGAAACTGATCAACAGCTTTTGTACAACCTTTCCTTTGTGAAGTCCTTTGAGACTGTTGAACACATGACACTGGAGAAGAGCAAAGTCATTCTCATTTGAAAGCTTATTGCACAAGAGGCTTCAACAGTTGAAACCAAAGCATTTTATGTACTTCTGTCTCTCAAATGATCAAAAACAGCCTCCTAAATTAGCAGTCACTAACTCTTTACCACCTCTGGATTTCTCAGTGGAATCTCCCCAGGTGTGCATTTATCTTTTTGGACTGTAAAGCTTTGAGACCAGAACCTCAAACGTTTGAGTCCTATGCAGCACCATGCACATTCTCAGATAACAACAATAATAGTATCACCTCATCTCTACTTAAACTCTTCTATATCAGGAATAAATGTCTTCTATGCAGCTGTGGCTGGGAGTCAGTGGGTGGGTCATCAATCCCCATCAGTTAATCCCAAGGAGTTGCATCCAATGTTAGCTACAACACTAAGTCTGAGGAGAAGGTAGGGGTAAGATTTCCAAAACCACTCATGTGGTGTTGACATAACTCTATTCCCACTGCAATCAGTGGTAAACCCTCATTTTAAATTCTCCTTTTAAAGCCTGAAGCATCATTAACTCCTTTAGAGTATATTCTCATTTAACTTGGAGATGAGGGTAGGATGCCACATATCGATGTTTGCAAGGGGGTCCCCCTCTCCTGAACTCTTGACTTACCTGGTTCATGTTTGGTCATTACCTACCTTTTATGGCTGATCTGTGGCACATCCTGTAGCACTTTCATGCTTGATACATAGCACAGGATTGTTAGAAGAATGGAACATCAGCTTCACTTGGCTTCCCATTGATTTCAATGATAAAAATGGTCATACCCTTTAACGGAAGCCAAGTAAAGCTGCTGCTGAAAAAAGATTCCCACCATAAACATAAAAGCTAATAAAGGTAACATTAAAAGAATATAGAATCATTATGTGTAGCTAGACTGTGCAACCTTCCAGAAAAGACTTGAGTTGCATCTCCAACACAGAAGAATGATGCTGTATATCTGATGGTGGTGTTGAATTCATGTCCACTTCCTTGGGATATGAGGCAAAGTGGCCAAAAGCAAAGATCAGCATAGCAGCCAGACAGACAGCTGGGATGATTTTTTTTTTTTTTTAGAGGTATGCAGTTATCAAAAAAAGGCCCAGTGCATGCAGCCAACACTTGTAATCTGTTGCAGTCCCTGTCGGACAAAACAGTTTTGCCGTAAGACAGCGATTCCCAGAGGGGAAAGGGGTGCGGTGGAATACTTTATCAGCTGCGTACACATGTAAACTGGTACCCTGGTTGAAAAGCAAAGCCTCTTTTCCTTTGAAATCAGAGAAGGGAAGGGAGGTAGCTGGCTGAGAGCAGGGAAAGAAATGACAGGCACAAAGCTGAATGCAGCAAAGCCAGGCCTTGCCACAAATATTTCCATCTTCCTAGAAGGCTAAAATAAATACCCGGTGATGGCTAATAAAAATTGGAAGAAAAAAAGAAACCCCAAGAGATTCAACTGTGTTTAGAAAAAGTATTAAAAAAATTTAATGTACAGGAATATGTTTTAAATTATTCAGATTTTAAGAACAATTTGATTCAAAAGCAAAATGCTGATAGCCCCTTGGTGTCTAGCTTTTTTCTGAGGTTTATGTGGCTGGTGTCCCAGGTTTCAGGGTTGACAGATATGTAAATTCTCTGGGGTTAAAGAAAATACTGTTCCAGCCTGAAATCTCTGAATTAGCAGGAGTCCCACAAGTGCCCACTGATGGGCAAGTATTGCCCTTGAATGGAAAAGGCTCATCTTCCACCTCTTGAGTCCAGGTGTATCTCCTTCTCAGACAAAGAGCTTGGCATGCCTCAGCTATGTGCGAGGTGTGAATTAATCCCCTGGTTGAAAGGGATGCTGTAGCAGATTCTGATGGTAACGAGTGTGCTTAATCCCACTTGGCCATAGAACATACAGGCAGATGTCCCATTCTTTTTGTCCATCCACAGATGACCTGAGGGGAGGGAAACAAAAGCAACATGTAGCTGTTTTACCTTTGATGCTGACTAGAAAGCAGGGCAGAATCTCCTCAACCAACCAAATTCACACAGAGTAGAGACTGATCCATAAAGGTGTGCCAACAGCCTGCAAAAGCAGGGGGAGCGGGGAGTGAAATTGAGCAAACCAAGGCACCCTGGTGCCAACAGCAGACAGGATCCTGGAAGACGGAGCAAGCTGAAACGGACCAGAGCTATGCACCTACAAGCAGCCAGCACTTATAGGGTGGGAGGAGATTTGAAAGGAAAGGGCAAAGATCCTTAAAAGAACCTCCCATTAAAAATGAATCCTGATGCTATTCTGGCTCAAGAGAAAGTTCCAAATACACAAAGGTAAGTAAATGGGATGGGAAGAGAGAGGAAGGGGAAAGAATGAGCAAGGGAGGGGGAGAAAAAGTGAGAAAAAGGAAAGGGAGATTGAGAAAAAGGGGGAAGGGAGAGAGAGGGAGAGAGAAGGAGCACGCGCGCGTGCCCATCTGGGCGATGCATCACATTGAAATTGCCCCGCATTAAAAATTCACCAGCCAGTGAATTTTCAAGGGATTTGTAGTAATTAGATGACAAAATGCTGGCAAATCTCAGGCTTGCCGAAGATGTTACTCAGGGGTCAAAGACTCGACACTTTTGGCTGGGTAATTTGTAAGTGTCAATCACACTCAGCCATCAGAGAGAAAGGAAAGATCTAACGGCTGAATTCTAACTAAGTCCAATGTTCTTGCCTTCAGCCACCCTGTCTGCTATCATCCCCCGTCTCCCCCCACCACGTTATCTAACGCGAACGCAGGCGCTGCCTCTCACCAGGGACTGGAGACTCAGCAGTTTAAACACTGAGTTTTCTTCTACAAAAACTTCCCACTTATGATTTTTAAAACCCAAATTTATGAACCAAGAGAAATTTGTTCAGTTCTCCTGGGAGCCAGTGAGATGACAGCACAGGGGTATGACAATAGGCAGCTTCTCTGTGACCACTGACTTTCCCTAGACCTCCCATGCCCCTTTCACTAACTGGCAGCAGAGTACACAGTGGCACATCAATACTTCTAGAGCAGACCCTCAAAAAGCCCACAGCTGCTTCTTTAGTGGCTGGGAAAGCTGGATTTCCTCATTCCTTGATAGGTTCATAGACTTGCTTTCCAACACTGGTCTCTTACCCCACACCTCACACTTCCTGCCTTCCTTGGTTCTGGCCTCCTTGGGAAAAGTACAATTCTCAGTTAACAAGCAAAATGAGAAACTGTTTTATTCAAACTGTTGTGGAAGACCAAGACCCTGATCCTGCAATTAACTCAATATGGGTATATACCATTATGTTCATTCGCAGCCATCTGCAGTCAGTAGGGTCTGTATGGGTGTAGGGCCCTGGCTGCATGGAGATCAAGTATCCTTAATTAGCAAACCCAGTAGGAAACCAAAGGCAGAGTAACTGAAGGAAAATCACTGCATGAACAACACTGCCAAGATTAAAGTGGTAGGGAAGAAAGGGAATGATTTACTCCACTTTTCTCTATATTAACCAGCACACTCCCTGTGAAGTATATCTAGGTGCAGGAATCTCAGACAAAAGAGGTCAGATGCTTGCTGCTGCAAAAGAAACAGCAGCTTGGAGGGGAGGATAAGAGAAAGTTTGTACTGCAGAGTCTTTTTGGAAGGACCACTCATATCTACAGAATTACTCTATACTTAAACCAAGACAAGAGCATGGGTGGGACTCAAGAAGTCTGAGACACAGGGGGGGGGCACAGGACTCAGCAATGCTGATGCTGAACTGCAGCTGTACCCTTCTTTCATGAGGATTTATACAGATGTAAGGCTTCTATGTATACAAGTTTTATGTGAGGGTACTGCTGACCTAAATTTCACTCTCATGATTTATGGAAAAGGCGTTCAGCCTTTTGACCCCTAAGGCCAGATGAGTGGCATGGGGCTGGATTAGACCCCATGATGACTTAGAATGCCAGGATCAGGCCCTGGGCTGCCGCTACCTGCCTCCTGTTGGGACGGGGCCCCAGGGTCTCACACTGCCCCTGCCTAGTCCCGTGTGCCAGAATCAGGCTCTGGGGCCCTGTGCACCCAATCTAGTGCACAGGGTCATGGTCTGTGGGGCTCTGCATGCACCCATGGGGAGCCCCACAGGCTTGATTACACAGTGCCAGGGGCCATAACTGCCCTGTAGGCTGAGAGTTGAGCATTCCTGGTATAGGGCAATCACCAGACTCCCTGTAATAGCATAACAGCCCTGCAATTCATAGCTACTTCTTCATTCCGTATTTAAATAGATGCAAAACAATATTGTTTGGATTCACAAGAGTGCAAAAATTATTCACTTCTCCTAAATTTTATGTGGGTGCCTTTGGGTATGAAAAGGCATTTATTTCTAGCTGTGGAAATGGCTGAGAAATTTCCACTGCTAGAAATCTTTCTGGGAGAGAGAGCAATACAGGAGTTCAGCCTGCAGCTGCCCCCTAGATCAAGGCAATCCTCATCTAGGGAAAGCATGGGAAGCAGTGACTGCTTCTCTCCTCCAGGTCCCGGTGGAGGCAAGGAATGGGTTGGAAAAGTGAAGAAAGACCCTCCGCAACCTTCCGCAGACTAGGGACTTCCAGTTCGGAGAACAGGTGGGGAGCAATGGGTGCTGTTCCTCTGTTCTGCTCTTGGGCTGTTCAACCTCAAGGAAAGAGAGAGAGAGAAGGGGGATGGGGAGCTTTTGACCACACCTGGAGATGACCAGACCAATGTACACAAGCATTCATTCTTATGAGAGTAACCTGGAGGGGGCATGTTTCGTCTAGGAGAAACTGAATGAATGCTTATATGTGCTGGGTTTATAGCAGAAGAATGGTGATTGTCTTTGTAGAAATGCAATACCTGTACCTGCCCATTATCCACAGCCCCCAAATCCCAAGACCTCCATCTGTTTCAAAAATGATGAAGACTGAGGAGAAAAAGGAAGGGCTGAAGGAGAGGCAAAACTGTAGGAGCAGGACTGCTATAAAAACCCAACAATCAGGAGTCAAAAGCCAACCAGAGCCCATCAGCTCCCAGAGCAGAAAGTTCCTTCTCTGCATGACAATGAAAAATTAACAAGATACCAAAAAATATATATACATCAAAGTCACAGAAAAAAACAGTCCTCTTTCTTCATCGCTGTCTGCTAAATTTTGTAAAAGTCTGTTCGTTGTAGAAACAGGAGGAAATGTGGTAGGGCAAGGGGAATTCACTTATAGTCATGGTCTGTCTAGAAACCAGTCCACAATCTCCCATTGGAGGATGATGGGATTGTAATAATCAGTGGTACCTCAGCCAGCAGTGTTGAATTGCTCTCAACACTTAGCACTGCCCTTTATCAATAAGGTAGGTGGCTGTAACAGTTCCTTAGGTTTTCTCTTTAATTTAAAAAGTTATTTGCAGTTGCAAAATGCTGCCTGACAACAACACAGTCTTTGGTTGGGATTGTTTTCCATTAGCCAGTAGTTGAATTTTGAATCTATTATACACATTTAAACAGCATTAATTATAGATTACCACACCCAAGGCTTCACACAGGTGCCTGTTTTATTACTGTTTACATTGGGGCTTGATCCCAGCTCAATTAATTTTTCTTTCACCGAGGAATACATAAATATGTATTCAGCCCCCCTCCCTCTACACACACTCAAAATGGGTAAGTGACAAAGCCACTGTCATGATATCACTCTGATGCACAATGAAATCAAACTCTTATCCAAAGAAACTAGCCCTTTAAAGGTTCCAGACCATGGAATATCTTCTGAGTTTGATTCCAATGGCATAAAACATTTCAGTTTTCAAAAGCACATGGATGGCTAAGTCCCACTGAAAGACCTCTGGACTTCCACTGAGATTTAGGTTCCTAAGTCACAATTAAAAAGGGATCTTACTTTCCTAAATATTTTTGGTGCTTTTGGAAACAATAACCACTCAATCAAACTTAACGTTAATAATGCGCTAGAGTTCTGCTGATTCCAAATAGTCCCAAACACGTGCTTAAATGCTCTGCTGTATTGGGATGTTCATCTCCTTAAGACATTTTTGTTGGGGAACTTGGGTAGTTTCATTTGCCCATGCTAATTTGTACACAGAGAATTAGGTGTCCAAGCAGTAAGTTTAGACGTGACAAAGCAGAAGCGACACACCAAGCTCTACCTTCAATTCTACGAACTTATTTAAAAAAAGTGCCATAGAGAATTAGACCAAGAATTTATCTGTCTGTTCCTTTGGCTCTGATAGCTGCCAGTCAGCAGCATCAAAAAAGCCTTGGGAACTTCGCAATAGACCAGTGGGGCCAACATTTTTGGCAAGCATGCCACAAGTTAGCACTGTACCCTCCTCAAGTGCAACTCTGATCCCCTGCTCAATCTGTTGCTCTGCTTTCTGCTACCTGCCCCCTTCCTGATATGCTGTGCATCACTACACAGAAACTCCCTGTGCCACTTGTGGTGCATGTGCTACAGCTTAGCCACCCCTGCAGAAGACAATTATTCTAATATAATAAAAGGCTTAGTCCGTCTGTCTGTAACGCTTTTGGGCAACTGCGCATGCGCTGCCGAGATGGCGGGCGGCGATTGGCTGTGCAGGCCCAAGTTTGAGCTGCTGCTAGGGAAATTTGTGGAGGCAGCAAACACGCCCCAGCTACCCGAACAGTGGGGCTTCCCCATGCCTCCCTGCCTGAGGGCACCCAATTGCTCAATAACCAACCACTGGGGTAAGTCCTTTTCCAATGTTGGTTTGGCGATAGATTTATAGTCTGGAATATAAAGATCAAAAGCCCATCAAATGTCACCCTAATGGAATGCAAAATACTAGTCTAATCTTGTATTTAACACTGAACTGTTTACTGCAACAGCATCCTGCAACAGTCAGTTCCACAGCTTATAAATGAAAATCCTGATATCACCATCAGTTTTATATTTACTACTTCAACTCTCATTCAGCTCCTCTT